ACATGTTTTTTGTGATTGCGCCCCCAATTAAGAAACGCACGCAAGCCCAGTGTGAATCCCTGCCAAGTTCTCTGGGTCGTGAATCTGCTGGTTCGGTGTGTTTACTGCTCTGATGATGTGTTACGTTGTTTGTTACACAGCTGTGTAATGTCTGTTTATTTGGAGCTTTTAAAATAAAAGAACATGAATTCTATACAACACGAAAATAGAATGGTAAGATCATTTAATATTTTTAAAAAGTAACTTAATAAAAAATATTCAGATAGGCCTAGTTAAATATTGATAAAATTTTGAGGCCTAGCCTAGGCCTAGTAGAGTAGAGAGAGAGGAGGCCCTAGCCTAGCTAGCTAGCTAGGGTAGCCCTAGCTAGTTACTAGTAGGCTCCTGTACCCATAGGCCCTAGGCTAGGTAGATAAGGTAGGCCCCAGCCTAGGCCTAGGCAACTAGTAGTAGTAGTTGGCCTGGGCCTATAGCCAAGATTGAGCTAGACGGAGTATGGTCAGAGCGGCCGCGAGTCGATACGCAGCAGCTTGTATGGAGCGCCAAGCGTGCAGTATGCAAAATGTATGTTGGACAATGGGTATCAGAGTTCGATATTAATACTGTTTTAATCAATTATCAAATTAATTTAAATAAAAGTTCATTATACATAAAAATCCGAACTGATAACATAATAAATATCAATTTAATCATATCATAATTCAATTATGTCATGTACGTACAAAAATGTTTCGATCTGTAATCAATCTGTAAACAAATCGATCTTTAATTAACCAGGGCCAAGAAGACTACGAGAAGTAAAATATATTCAATTATGAAAATTATACATTGATTTCTCTTTATTTCGAAACACTTGCCTGATCAAATGAGTGAAACACTAGAATTGACGAGTACGATATGAAGGCTATTGACCAACGCTATACCGTACCGTATCCCAATCAATCGGTATAGCGCTACTGGCGTTCCATACATTTTGAGCGCGGCCGCTACGACCCGAATCCAGCTAGACCTATCCCCTATAGAAAACAAAAGACATACTACAATACAAGCGCAGGTTCTTTGCTGCTAGTTAGAAAAAGCTACTGGCCTAGGTAGGCTAAGGCCTAAATATGGCCTAGACCTAGTAAGTGATATAATAAGGCTACTGTAATAAGGTCAGTTAGGCCTAGGCCTATACAATATTTATAGTATTTTCAACAATTAATTATTTTAATTTAAGCTTTCTTTTATTCAGGGTAGAAGTTAACCTTTCAGTAACTATCTATTCTTAGACTTATAGTAGGTCTATAACCAACTTGGCCTGTGCATCAGCTTGGCCCTTGCCAACTCGGCTCGGTCCTAACCGACACACACAGCCCATACCAACTTGGCCCTTGTCAATCTTGACCCATGCACCAACTCGGCCCATACATAATGCTGCTGTTGTTTTTTTTTTAGTTATTTTTTAATATTTAATCAATAATAATATTATTACTGTGTTGACATATTGTAATTTGTTTGTTTTTAATACTATCATTATTTTAGAGTCCATGAGTCCATGCAAGCATGGGTTATAGTGTACTTGTAATGACAGCCTTGTATTCTGCATGATTTTGTGCAAGCTCTTTTTTCAATCCCTTTGAACAAAGGTCATCTGTAACCATGTGAGCCCGGGTTTTTGCAGGGTCTACTACGTCCACAATAACCACAAGATGTTGGATCCTCCTTGGCCAGTTGTCTTCATCTCTCCTTTCTACATGACCAAACCAGCGTAAACGTCTTTGCCGCATCACATCCAGTATTGAGGTTATACCACTAATTCTTCTTACTGTAGCTCCTCACTAGACTTTCTTTCATTTAAGGACATACCACACATCTGACGGATCATTAACACTACATTTCTGAGTAATCATTGCACATCCTCAACTTTGATCGGCCAAGTTTCACTGCCATATCATAGCACTGCGAACGCATGTTTTGTAAAGCTCACCACAAACTTTGAAGGATACCGATTTTGTTGTTAACAATGTTATGAGTTCTCTGAACCTTTTCCAACTACTCCTCACTTGATTCCACTCTGCCACCAGCATTTAACATATCACCGAAGTAGCAGAATCTATCTACTGTACCACCTCAAGGTTACTTCTAGCAAGCAGCATCTTTGTTGGGATGGTTTCGTCTGCTTCTTTAACTACTAAAGACAGTTCTTGCACACAAAATTGACGAATTTGGAAAGGTTACCCTTGACACCATGCTTGCATTTTGCATCGACCTAAAATTTGCAGGAGGTAGAGAATAGTGAATTTCTGCCAGACCTTTCCAGCAGACACCACAGTGTGCTATTTGCCAGTCATGTTTTGTGATTAGTTTCCACTTCTAGAAATCATCACTTTGCAGTAGTCTTCCCTGAATTTACACATAGAAGATCCATTCTTCCCAGTTTCCTTGAACATGATGTCTATTGATTCAATTTCAAAATGAGGATATTTTATCCTGGACAGCAGATGAGAGCTCCCTGGACAGTATAGTTCCAACTTCCCTTTTCTTACATTTGTCTACTTTTTCTCTTCACGACAATTTGCACCTTTAGCCTGTTTTCATGTGAAATTGCAAGAAACCCTGCAATGATTTTGCTAATCTCAATCAGCAGATGGCCAACAATCTTATCCACCACTACTAATTTCTTCTGCTGTTGAAACTCACAGATTTCTTGTCACGAGCCATGCTATCTGGATGATTATCTTTTCTGCACCAGAACCATTCGTAATCTTCGGTTTTCGGATGTCTTTTTATAATTTTTTTCATTAAAATATCGCCCATTGAATTTTCCAAATACCCAGAAGAACCCCTCAATTTTAATATATTTCCATAAGCGCCCCCTCAATTTCCACTCTGTTTTCATAAGATCCCCGTTTGAATGAGCACCTCATTTGAATAAGCGCCCCTCAAAAAGGGCAAAAAATATTTTAAACGCCCAGGCGCTTATTCACGCAAATATGGTAATTTTAATAAAACCAATGTATTATGCAGTAGTTACAATTATACGCACCTACCTATTTTTCTAGCAATTTTCCGTTCAAATATTAGCTAGATTTTGAAATACTGTATTGTCACGCTACAGTATATTATTAAAATACTTTATGGTACGGCCCAGGGTCTATATTTTTTTGTATTTATTTAAATTATGTTACATACTGTACTGTACTGTACCATAAAAGCGAATAATTTGACAGGCAGTTACCTTTACAGTGATGTTAAAACTAAGAAATTCCTCAAGTATTTTTTGTGAAGTCTAGTATCTAATTTTATTACACTATTACAATGTCTCTTTTTCACTTAAATTTTTAGGACAATATTTAAGAGCCAATCTGAGGACAGAAATAAAGGAACTATGCATCACAAAGTGCAAAGTTCTCTACCATTCCAATATCATCACTGGCCATCTCTAATCTTTCAAATGTACAAACTATATTTGGTGCTTTCTATAGTCATATTTTATAAACCTGGTAAGTTTAATAATCTTTGCTTATTATTACTTTTTAAAGGAGAAGTTTACCAATTTGGTGTTGCTAAACCTGGATGGAGCGATAAATCTGGTTGAGAATAAATATGTAATGAGCTTACACGAGATCCATAATTTAAAAAAAAATTATGTATTCTGAGTACTGTGCTAAATCAGTTCTCAACTACAATGCACCCTCCAATTCGAGACTCCTCTAATTCGAGACCACTATTCCAAAGACACAAATAACAATCTTCAACCTTTTAACACAAAGCTAGCCCTCTAATTGGAGACCAACCCCGAGACCACAGCATATTTTCAGGTCCAAAAGGTGGTCTCGAATTAGAGGCCGAACTGATATGAAATTGGTGAGCTTCTCTTTAATTAAGGTGATGTTTCATTTTTAAAGATATTTGTACCAGTTATATTCTGATGCAAATTCTTGGATTTGATAAGGAGCTGTAATATACCGTACAAACTACATTACCATATATAATACTGCATTGTTTTTATTATTATACTTCAGTATATCGTACTGTATAGCATAGGAAATACGAATGAACTTAATCTTTCATTAAAAATAACAAAAGAAAAGCATCATCAGTAAAAGCAGACAAAAAACGTTGGCAAAAGCAGACAAAAAACTATAAATAGCTCTCTAAAATTGTTGCTTTTTAAGTTTATGTTAATAAACACAATTAGTGGTACTATAGACTTGAAATCTATATCCACTTTTAAACAAAAAATTAAATTGAACACCTTAAAAACTAACATCTTTTTCATGTTTTTCTTTTTCTCTTTTTTTATGTTTGTCTTTAGCTTAGGCTTAAAGGGAGAAGGCTTAGCCACTAGTCAAATGACTATGTGGCTATCTTGCCTCCCCAGGTTGTGTACCGAACTTTCAAAAATAAAAATAAAAATATTTAAAGAAGTAAACAACTAGTAAACTAAATATAAATTAAATGTGAAGGATTTTAAGTAAAATGTGATTGACTTTTTTTGCAAAAAAATTTAATTAAATGAAAATTTAAATAAAGTAAAATTTTAAAATACAGCTGTTAAATTGGTACATCAGAATCACAAAATATTATACCCAGTTATTCCTTTGTGGAAATTTACTACTGTTGCTATTATTTTTTTGGCCTGCTGTACCATAACAACATTGTTGACCCTAATACTTGTTCAGTTGACGGCTCAGAAGGTGGTTAAAACTATAGAGCTTTAAAGTCTCAAGACAATTTTAGTAGATTTTAAAATGATGTCTCCATTTACCAAAGCAGGTCTACATTTCAATACTTGAACCTACTGCACTGTACTGTACATTGTCTGCATTAAGAAGTAACTCTTAAGATTCCAATCCTGTTTTGATTTAAACCCCGCATTGTTATGTATTTAAAAGGAATAATAGAAACTCCAAAAGTGTGTGGATTACCCAAACTATTAATACCGGCTTGGTATTTCACATGATGCATAGTAAAGTATACAATACTGAATAGTGGAAGTTGGTAACTGTCATTAGTATGTTAATCTTAGACTTTAAAACAGACTACACTACTACTGTACATGTCTTGCACAGTGTGCTTTGCACAGTATTTTATTGACAATAGTTTATCACTGTCAGTAAAATTTTGTCATTGCAATATAAACACGTTATATTTTCATTGCGGATTTTTTGGGCTCAGTACGGACTCTAAACATATGCATTTTCTTTTAGTTTTAAGGCGTATGCGGATTTTATAAGTCTGCAATGACGATATAACCTGTTTATATACATATAGAATAAGCTATTTCCCCAATGCCATGACTTTGTTGAACTTCTTCATAAGGATCATGTTGCTTTTAAATATACTGTAATATTTTATAATCTTGTCTGTTACCAATGGAGTGTGTGAATGACCATCTTGCACAAAATGTTGATTTTTTTTTTCAGCCTTGGATTTTTTTGGAAATTACTCTCCAAAAAAACGATATTTTAAAACTACTGTAAATGTAAATAGTGTGAACAACTTTTGATGAAAACAGCTATACATTGTTTGTCAAAAAAAAAATCACATTACCCCTTAATATTACTTTGATAAGAAATTTCCTATAATTGATTTTGTTTTCCTTGTTTAGCTTGATAGTATAAAGTGATTCTTTGTAATTATGATAAAATAATAATTTTTATTTTAATTGATATTGAAAATCAATCATTTTTATACCACTTTTGTTAGCTAAATTTTACTGCACTGTACAATACTCGCTTCAGAAATTGGGTATGAAGTTTACAAATACAAATAATAATATTAAAATCTTAGCTCTTTATACAGTACAGTAGTTAATATAGAAGTCATATTTTACTGTAACATAACATTTGATTTAATTGTTGCTTCATTAGATGCTCCCTGGTCATTTGTTGGATGTTTTCAAGATGATTCACCATTCATCATTATGTCTCTAAAAATTGTTTTCTTTTATTAGTGATGTGTACTTTGAGACACTACCATCTGGTGACATACCTTTACCACTTGTTGATAACATGATTGATTAACGTAACAAAAGATAAAGATGATAATAACTGAGCCGCACCTTTTGTTAAATGTATAATTCCACCTTCCTCTTTGTTTGGACATGGAGGAAATATATTCCATAGTCTGGATCAGACCCTCCTTTTATATCCTTATAATAATAAGAGTGGCAAATGCCAGTATGTTTAGTAATTTGGTAGCATATGCCATATTTTTAGAATTTTTAAACATTATTTTTAATCAACCAAATTAAATTATTCTTATTATTTACAGTACAAGGATACTGTAATGCAAAGCAAAAAATAGTTTCTTATCCAAACCTATTTTATAAAAACAAAAAGGAGAGACATTTTGTTTTTATTGACAATTTCAAAAAGTTATGCTTAACAACACCAATTTTATCTATCATACTGTGGATGCAAAACAGAAAGGAATGGAAATTGTTGTTAAAGTGACAATGTAAAACTTCAAAAAAAAAAAATTTAAAAGGCAGCAGAAAGAATCGGCAGATAAAAAAAATCACACTAATGTTTTGTTTTTACACATCACTGTACAGTATATTGCATCATTTATTATAATATAGAACTCGTTGATTGCATGTAGAGATAATCATTTATTACAGCTGTTGGACTATATGACTTCCTAACAAAACAGAGTTTTTGTTGTTCATGATGGATCACCAGTTGTTTTGCCAGGAATGTTGTCCAGGCAATATTGTACTGTATATTATTCAATTCAATTCAATTTATTGCTTCAGGATGCCATCAAGGGCCATTATTTGCCAACACACATTACAATCCAATACAAAATACAATTAGTATTTTACAGTTTCATAAGATAGGTATATGAAAACTGTAAAGATGAGTTAGTATTAGTTTACATGTTGAGAACTTGCTTTATACTGTAAAGGAAGGGGAGATTGTGGAAGGGTCAGAAGACAGGAAGTATGCAAGGGTACAGTAAAGGAATATGGAAGAAATGATGTCTCAAAGGATACAATAAAAAGGAGGGTTTTATTGTAGGAATTGCAAAGAGATATAAAGTAAATTATAAGCAATTGGCGACAGGAAGAGAGGTAGGAGTAAAGGGGATTGTTTTTATTTTGGCTGCAGAAGATGTAGAACATCTGTCTGGTTCCAAAAGTGTCAAAAATGTGCCAGGGAGGAGGTGCTATAGTTTATCTGTACCTCCCTGACATGTACACTTATAAATTTTAACACACATTATCTGTTGAAGGATGAATGGAAATCCAGTACACAAGGTACAGTACTACAGTTTAAACATTATTAAGGAGTACATTTTACTAAGGCAGGCTAATGGTTATCTATTTGAAACGTTTTCTTCTAGGTACACAAAAATTCCCACTTAACTTTCAATTAAATAATATACAATTATTGATAATCAGTGTACCTATTTATTTTATAGTGTTCATCAAATCAAACATTGTACTTTATGTCTCATGATTTGCTTTCAGATATTAGTATCTTTTAATCTGTATCCTTGAGGGGCTAATCCCTGTACAGCCATAATCAGCTAAAAGGCGGGGTAATACACTAACTGCACAGCAGTGCCTGTATACCTCCAATTTCTGCCTGTAACCGTAAGCCAAAAATGTGTAACCACTTTCTTTGGGCATTCCTACTTGATTCACTCTTCAAGTTTTTCCCTAAAGTATTATAATTTACCGTACATGTAGCCTGATCACAGTGTACAGTACTATTTGACCTGCATATATATTGAGCAGACCATTCCTTTTTATGGAATGTCTTGGTTTTTTAAGGTGTTGTTTCCTAAATAATTGATTGATTGATTGCCTCTTCATATGAAACTTCAATTAATCCTCATCATTAAACTCCACAATTTTTATAAATTGATAATTTAATAATAACAGTATGAAAATATATATGAAAAAAATTAAATTTTATCAGACAGTGTGATGATTAATATCCATTGAACTGACTATTTTACTTGCATTTCCTGGTACATTATTCAGTTTATGGTAGCGACCCAATGAAAAGATCATCCAGGTATTTTTAGAGTCGCTGGAAGCATGAAAAATAAAATTCATGGAGTATTTTCATAGACTACCTGTAGTTACTGTATTACATTTTTGATGTCATGTCTATGTGTCGTCTGAAGGATATGGTTGTTGGTGACTATAGTAAAATATCAGCCTTTGTTGCTTTGTGTAACTGCTGGAAACTGATTGCCTGAAATTTAACTACTGTAAAGCCTGCATCTCACCGTGGTACCCCCATAGGATAGTCATTTACTTTCTTCCGTGTTGAACCTCAATTTCCACGCTTAATTATTCCACTAAATTTATCTGGTCGGGCCTTTCACATTTTGGTAAATTTAACATGAATTATCAGTACACAAAAACAGATGAGATAACACCAGGGGAATCAAGCCGGTAGCCAGGGGGTTTGAGGGGTTCAAAAGCATCCTCTCTTTTTCAGAAATGCCCTTTTAAACTCGTAAACAAAATCCATAGGCCTAATTTTCTACCGACCAGTACATTCAGCTCATAATATGTAAAATGTCTTTTCCTGCTTTGTATGCGCTTTTGTAAAATTACAGTTGAAGTAAATGATAAGGATTATAATGTTAATTTTTATAGCAGATAGATGATTAAACATAAAAATCATACTGTACAAATTTTTAATAAACCAGATATAATTGCAGAGGTCAAATACTATATATTGGAAACCTAATTAGAAGCCAATAACATAAAATTACAGATATTTCCCATTGCTGGCCCCTGCACAGTATTGGCTTCTGATTTGTAGTTAAATGTTTAACTTGCATGTCATGGAGGGGCTGTATTATAATAGTACAGGAGTACTTGATTACGCTGCAAGTACTGGCGCAACTGACTAGCAATACTGTAAGCATTGCAGCTTCAGTTTAAATAGCACTCAGTTTATCTATTGATTAGACTAATCTGCTATTGTTGTCGTACATTTTGCGGCTGTACCTATTAAGTAAATGTTTTGATAAAAATAGTCTAGTCAATCTCTGTTTGAAATACAAATTGTTATTACCAATGAAAAATATAGAATAATATACATGATAACTTATAGTACTACTAAATTTTTCTTTCTTCTGAATTTCCACAGTTATTACCAAAAAAACATGTTCTATAATGTGATACGTAGTACATTAAACTATATATTTCAGGGTTAAAAACAATAGATTCAGTGAACCGTGGCAAAACTAACAATGGAGGAATGTCAGAGGTACTTTTATCATAATAATAATAATAAATTTATTGTTTCTCTTGTAAAGAAAGCGCAACTATCATTGAGAGTGTGTAATAAAAATAGAAGTACAGCGAAAACATGTTGAAAACATAAAGCATAGAATGTTAAAATACCAAAGTACAGCCAATGGTAAAAGCTGAGTAATATTAAATTTCATGGTGGGGAAAATACCTCCATTCACCCTAGTCATGTTACATTATGGCAAGTTGTAAATCTGCACATTTTCAGTAATTCAACAGCATGGCACCAATGTACAGTATGTAGGAATAGCATCCTGAAGGATTCTAAAATACTGTATACAATACTGTATGAATAGGGCCAAATAAAAAAAATACTAGTTTATCATCCCCTTGAGCATCCATTTTCTCTGCCTGACCAAATTTTGTTTTCTTTTCTTTTTTTTTCTGGTTAACTCACATCAGTAAAAATCCTCTTGATCGGTCCAACACTAGTTTAAAAATTAGATTTGTTTCTCAGTCCAGCATTTACATTTTGAATTTTAAAACCTTTTTGTTTTTTTCACTGATGAAAAAAGAGAGTAATTAAAAAGCATTAAAAGATAAAAATGTTAGAAGAATAAGAAAGTCAGTTGAAGTGAGTGAGACAATAAATGACAGGCATTCAAAAATGCTTTATAAAATAACACTTTGAAATATGTTTTACTACTGCATACAGTGGGCTTCTGGAGCTATAAATTAAATAAACTAAAGCCTCAATCGCACTGGATTAAATTTTGGGAATATGTAACCGTCATCACAGTAAACATTTCTAGGGTAAATGTTACCGTCAATCGCACTTGGACTTTTCAACTTGGTTAGTTTTCCTGAGTAGTGTAAAATTAACTATTGAGGGCGGTACATTTTGACCTGTAACATGACCCGTACTGATCTGTTTCTGTTCCTTCGACTGACTAGGCCAACATCATGAGAGCCTAGAATTTCTCCTTCCGATATTTCAGGCCTAGCGAGGCCTAAAAAATCAAGAAAAATGTCATTCCATGCCATACTACTATTTAAGGGAAAGTAACACGTTAGAAAATAATGTTTTGTGATCAACTAGTCGAATAGCACAATATTCGTATGATCAATACAGCACAGTAGTATATAATTTGCACGAAATTCGAAATGTACACATCAATAAACCAAAACAATGAGAAGAAGCAGGTCAACTAATTATATGCATGCGCCAGTGCTTCACAGAGCGATAAAGGTCACCCAGTGAACAATGAGGCTCGGGATTCGGTTAATTTAACCGACCTGTGGCTATTCGCATTGGATTTTCCAGGCCGGTCAAAGTAGCTCGGTAGGAATTCCTGAGTAAATTTCACTCCCGAAAACTAACCGGTGGCAACAGTCAAGTTAACTGAGCGGGACTATCCGCACTGGATTTTTTTCAGTCAAACTTACCGACAAGACAGTTACTTTTACTGAAATAAATCCAGTGCAATTGAGGCTTAAGGAAACACACTAAACCGTAGTTGCTGGATAAGACCACTAGTCATGCAAAATGCTTAATTTGGAATTTTTTGCTTTATTCTGGGAATGATCTGTGTACAGTAATATAAATTTTAAAAAGTTAAATAATGAAAATAGCTGTAAATCAGTGAAAACTTCTTTTAAGAATTTGAATCAGTCAAAACTTACTGGAAGTTAGTAACTTACTTAATCGTATATCTAATGATTTAGCTACATTATTATAAAGTTGTTTATGTTTCTTAAACATTGAAATTTAAATTTTGATTGAAGGACCTGGACGAGGGGAATGTACAGGAACAACACCCTTATCGGGATTCACCCTGAATGAAGCCAGCAGGGAAACAAACACCATCATTCCACAGACGTCCGTTACCACCATGGACGGCTGCATTGAGGCTTGTTGCCAGGTGACCTCATGTGACTTAGTATGGATGTCAGACGGAATATGTTACTCGGTGGTTTGTAAATCAGTTGAGGCATGTGAGCCAGTTGAAACATCAGAAGCTATCATATCCATGATTTCTGCGATTGATAGGTCAACTGAAAAAATAACAAAAGGTAGGTGCAAAGAGAGTGGAGGCAGCCATCCGGCCCCCTCTACATTTTTTAAATAAAAAACCAAGAAAATTGCATTCAAACTTCAGACTAAGAGTGCCTTATCTGTCCAGCTAGTCGTATTATAAGCCCCTTTCAGGCAGAGCTGCAATACCGCAATATTGCGGTATGCACACAGGTTTGGGTTTCTCTCTGGAAGAGTTTGATACGCCAATATGCTAGCTTACTATAAATCAAACACCCTAGTAATGTAGTCCCAATATTGCGGTAATGGTTACAGCCTGTGCTATGTCTGAAAGGGTAAGCTGGCATGTGCATTGAAGCATAACCGTCTATAAACAAGGTTGAAGTTAACACGATGTGTAGGAGTTTTTTCCACTGTCACTTTTTCGTTGTCAGAAGGAATGTACTGTACTGTTAATGTTCAACAGCAAACAAAAAAAAATTATAACCAAGCATTTAAAAGAAAAAAACAAAGCATACAGTAGCTGCGCTGCTAAAATGACAGATTCAAAGGCTGAAAACTGATCAGACGCCATATTGAGAGAAATGTAAACAAAAAAGTGTGCGGTATTTTTTTTTAAACCGCCAATATTACTCCAATGTGTAGACCCTTTAAGACAAAAAAGATTCAGCTTACGGCAATGCTGTATTGTGGTAACATAGGCACTGTATGAAAGGTTGTAGGCCGGCAATCATGCCGTCATGATTACTGCAATATTGCAGCAACGTCTATCTGAGAGGGGTTAGTGACATACAAATTCACACCTCAGTCACAACCGTGGTGGGGCTAAGGTAGTTTGAATCCTCTGTAAAAATTCTCTTCCTGGGACAACTCTAATTTTAATTCTTAGGTCCATCACTCGGTGCAAGAGATAAATCCGAAGCATTTCAGCTATGCTTTCTATTTAATTTCTACAGATGCTGCAAAGGATGATGGGAAAGAGTGTTTTAGAAATCATCGAAATTCATGTCCAAAAAATGAATTTTGCCATCACATAGATAGTGATACTGGTATTGGAAAATGTCATTGTTCGAAGGGCTACATTCGTGAAAGTGGTGGCAAATGTATTGGTAAGACGGTCATGTCTCATTCATATGTTAACATGTTTATTCTTATTGTTTTATTTTTTAAATGTAATGAAACATTTATTATTGTTGTTTTAAAAAATGTTTGAACTTAATTCAGTTTAAAATATTCTCATCTCTAAAATATTCTCATCAAGTGCAAAGTTTATATTAAATGTTAGTGTACAGTAAATTTAGAATTGAAAAATATAGTTGTTCTAAAATTAATTAACAACTGGGAAGGAAGGATGATAGGGATGTAGATTTAGTTAGTTCAATTTAAATTTTATATTCCCCTTCCTTCTAAGGTTATATAATAGGTTTGAATCCATGATATTAGAAACAGACCTTGTCATGTTTATAGACGCTGTAGTAAACAGTATGGGCTAGCATTTCAATGCATTATTTATATTCTTTATATGACCATATTCACAATGAATTCTTGGCTCGATAATAATTTTCACCAGACTAAAATATATTCTTCAAGCAATTATACAATACAAAATCATAATGATAAGTACAGTAAATAAATAAATTTATAGGAGTGGTGTTTGGCCCAACCTGACGTGTTATTGTACCGAATACTCAGTATATCCCCAAATACTAGCGAAAAAATTTGCAAGTGATTCGGGTGTTAATTGGACCCATGAAGCTAACTAGCCTGATGTCTTAACCACTAGACCACCGAGCCTGCGCTTGGTGGCTAGTGATGAATCCGATCCCCTAGTAGCAGCAGGTACTGCAAGTGCTATAAAAATGTAGGGCAAAACACCACTCCTATGATATTTCCTGACACAGGCTCAATTTAATTGAAGAAAATAACTATATACATTATTCTTGCGTGTTCTGTAGTGTATCTTATGATTCAGATTTGGAACTCACACTCCAGTGCTTTAACACTGTACCACGTACAGTAGTGTAATGTATACAATAATTCCTAGTTCCTATAGCCAAGTTTACAGTACTTAAAATTCTTCAATGTATAATAATATTTATAATGCGTACTATTAATAAAAGGCTTAGTACTCATAATAATAAAACATAATATTTGGTTAATGCCTCAATTGTTATACCTTTTGACATTTAACATTTAGAATTGTTTTCAGACACTTGAAACCGATATGTCAATATGTATAATAATTCTAATGCTTGAGATCAATTTTCTATAAAGATTTCGACAACACTTGATTTATGATGATGATATTGTAATCTTGTTTTTATACATTTTGTGTTTTTTTACTATTTAGCTCAGTATAATCGTCAGGAGCTTCATTTATATATTGCTCGTTGTTGCATGCTATTGATAATTTTTAGTAGTGGCCATACAAACAATTTCTGATCATCTCTTTTTCAAAAATCTTATTGTATGTTGGGAGCGACTTTCAATTTTATCCTTTACAGTAATAAAAGAAAAAAAACGATGTCAGTATTTCAAGTTTCGAAGGGAAGATCAGCAATTTTTTATATGGCCTAAGTTAAATTATCTCAGCATGACATTCACTTAACTGTTGGCATTTCAGTTGATAACATTTGTGTGTTCTTTGCATGTTAACATTTATTTAAAAATAGATTACCTTTCCAAAATTTTCTAATTTTCAAAGTGTATAATTATATCTATGGTAATGCAGCATTTATAAGCTGTGGATACTGTTGTTAGTAGCAATCACATAGACTCTAAATCATAATTGACAGTGCGGTCGACAAATTACTACACAACCAATGAGAGTTTGTGATACATCACAACAGGTAATGATGATATTTGCAATGAGGCCTAGATATGCAAATTCAAGATCTAGAGATATGTTTTATAAGAGTGATGAACCTTCTAGTAACGTTATAATTATGGTTTCTATAATAATGTTCTCATATATTGAATTCTAACCACATTCATTTTATAACATCTCAGTTTTTATTTCTTTCAAATTATAGAATGAATATGCTTTGAATCTTATTATTTGAATGATTCAAAATGAATAATTTGCATATATCATTTTGCATTTCATTTGCATATATAAAACAATTCATTACATTATCCAGACATGTGGTTAGGAGGCCATAACGATTGGAGTTCAGGCAATACAGATTCCATCCCAGATGGTGACATCATTGACAGTGAGGTGATGAATTTGATTGGCGGGTCTTGTGATGATGAAGCTGACTGTAACCCAAATGAGAAATGCTTTCATCTTGCATCTATCAGTGACCTGGGATTTTGCATTTGTAAAGATGGTTTCCATAGAAACACGGACGACAGTGCATGTGATATCGATGGAGATGAGCAAGGTGTTGATTCATGTTGTGGTGTCCTGTGTTGTCTTGTTTTATGTTTGTTTCTTTGTAAACTCTACATGCATCATTGCATTCATATTTTTTACAGTAATTAAAGGTAAAACTACAATCCAAGCACTACTGTAACACACACACACACACACACCTGTTAAGATACTAAAATAAACTTAGGTCCAAAAATTATGGTCAAATGTTTTAAAAACATGTAAAGGAAAATAAATTGATAATGAAATTAAAATTTATAAATTGGAATATATATAATATGTATATAATAATAATAATAATAATAATAATAATAATGTAATATGTAATAATATATATATATATATAATATAATATAATAATCATTGTAATACATTTATAAATTAGCTTTTAATTATAACCAGTATATAAAGTACTTTGGTAAGTATTATATGTTATCATTAAAAACTACTATGTAGACAAATAATAGTAATAACAGCATTAATTATTGTTTTGCACTAATTGTTGTTATATATAATTTCATTTTCTTGTTATTTCATGGTTTTATTACTTTCAGTGCATGCTTTTTCTTTCTTTCTAAGTCATTTCTTTGCGTGGTTTTAATATGATTATTGCTTACATTCAGTGTTGTAATGTCCAACTTAGTAGGTTAGTTTATCCAAGGTTATTCCAGTTGCTGTAGTTTAAAATAACTAGCTTCAAAATCTCTTTGACAGCCTCAGATGTGCCCCCTGACTCCATAGAATTGACAGCAGATTTATCTGAAGATAACGTAGATGATGAAACTGAAGTCAACACGAATAATAGAACAAACGTTTTAGACAGTACAGTTCTACAGTCTGTTAATACGAATAGTAACAGCACATCACATTCTACTAATTTTTCAAGTAACATTAGCAATGTAAATGAACCAGAGTCACTGACAGGAATAAATGCAACAATGGAAGAAGAAGATAGTAAGTGACAACTAAAATAATATTATTTTTTTATTTGGTTATTTGTGATCTGATCAGTATGCTATCTTGGATTATCATCTTCTTCATTGTCAGTATCATCGTCATCAGTCGTCATCGTCATAATAATACAAATCCTACTTTACTACCTTCCTCCTTTTTAGCTTTACCACAATAATCATTGTCTTCATCAACATCATTATCGTTGTTGTCATCACTATATCATCATCATCATTGTTATTATCATCATCATCATCATCGTCATTATTTCCACTGTTGTTGTCATCAGCTTAAATAATAATAATCATCATCACTGTTGTCGTCATCGGTATCATTTTTAGTACCATCCATATCATCAGAATCAATCTTCATTTGTCTTTTTCACCACCATCCTCACTAGGATTTTGACTTCCAACAATATGTCATTTTCCATGTTTCTTTCACAGCAAGTACTTGTACTTTCTTCAGTCACATTAAAAACATACCTAATTTTAACATATTATAATATGGAAAGTAATAATTAAAAGAAATAATATCATGATTTATTTAATTAGGATTTTTCAATTGCTTTTTTAATTTATTATAGATTGAAACACATATAAGGCTGTATTTTATATGCATATTTTCTCTAATACTATTTCTTAGAATTGCCAACCATTGAGAAGAAGGTATTCAATGGAAGCAGCTCTGTAGCACCTCACACTACGGCAGCAGGTGTGCACACAACACAAATACGCACCACTACTGCAGAACCAAGTAAGGATCACTTGTTACCTCTTTAGTCCCTATAGGATGTATTCATGAGGAGGAGGAACAAAGGTGTTGTGGGTTCTTGACAATTTTATGCAAATGATTGGCCATTTGACAAAACAATATGGTTGAAAAGATTCACACACAAGTGCAAAAGGCCACTTTCAAAAGAATAGTACAAAAGAAAAACAATTTTTTTTCAAATGGCATTGTGTTGGGAATACAGTTTTAAAAGATTGGTACTAATATAATTATACTACATAGTTGCCTATCTAAGAGGCCCCAAAAAGGATTTTTTTTTCATTTAGCACCCTTCTCTTATGCTTATTCTTGATTCTTCCTCTTAATCTCCATCTCCCATCTACCTTCCCATATCAATAGTCCTGGATATGGCACTGGTTGGTATTACAATGAATTTCTGCTCATGTCAATATGTGTCAATATATTTTTAATAAAGTCAGCTGTTTATTCTGTATACTGTAAAATCTTGAATTGAAGCCCAGGGCTTTTGAGATTGCCTTCTTTTCGAGGCCACTTTAAAAAAATTAAAAACGAGGGGCTTCTTATCAAAGTGAGTGCTGTAAATTTTGAGAATTTGTAACAATAAATGGGGACATTGTACTGTAGCATCAATCTGTATCATATATTAAACAGCATTAAATCAAATAAATTACTGTATCAACCAAGCATGTTTCTAATTTATTTTGTTTCTTTGAAATTCATGTACAGTGTTTTACTGTACTATCTCGAAAAAAAAGCCTATGCTAATTTATGCAAACTGATGAGGTGGGCTTCAATTCGAGATGGGTATTCTCGAGATTAAACCCACTGGACTTCAATTCAAGGTTTTACAGTATGCCTTCTTCATAAATCTGCAAAATTCCATATGAGGCAAGTCCTTCCAGGCTTAACATAGGGCGGATGAGCTCCTCAGAGTTAACGGCCAACCATTAATTAGTTTAAGGAATACTATAGGAGTAGTTTAGTCTCACTGTTATTATTGTTATTATGATTATTATTTTTTATTTTATTTTATTGTTATTATTTTATTGTTATTTACATTTTCTAAGTTGGCCTATATTATTTTTTTGTAAAGCGCATAGGGGCAATGTGCAATATGCGCTATATAAATATAACATTATTAATATTATTATTATTGTTATTATTATACAGGACAGAATTGTGGATAAAAGTATTAATTGCTGTCTAATAATTAGATGGCATTATTGTACAATTTAGTGTCATTAAACAAGTGTAATATTTACATTGCAAACACAACAGATCAAGATAGTAGACAGGGGAATGGACTACAGATCCAATCAGAATGGTTTGCAAATATTGCAGATTACTTTTGTGTTGCTTACATATTGGCTGTGTGAACATCTGTTACTAGAGATATTTATGAGATAGAAAATCAAATTAAATATAGTTTTTTTTTACAGAGCTAGACATCCGAACCTTTGCTAAACAAATACATGTATTGTAGTTAATCCTTACTGTAAACATGATGTAATAAGTCATATGTATGCTAATTACCTACATATTTTGTATTTAGTGAAAGCGTTGGCTGTTTCTGCCGGTGAAAATAAAGTCTTACAACTGCCTGATGAGACCAGCGTTAGTATATATACCTTTGTCGTTCCCAAAGACCCTCCTACTGGTTTTGAATATGTATATGAGTGGAGTTTAATCCAAAGTCCGGACGAACATGGCGGTGAAATTGGAGGCATGCATACAAATTCAATCACATTAACTGGAGTGAGTAAACAAAAATTAATTACAAATTTCTTAGTATTTTTTTAAATACCTCCATTATTTTACACAAATAATAAACCTTTAAATGAAATAAAAATTTATAAACTGGAATATATGTTGATAACAAAAAATTAGGTTCAAAATTTATCATTGTACAATTTTTTGTAATGTTTCAGTTGACAGCCGGTCTCTATGTGTTCAAAGTGGAGGTGACAGCGGGGAGGTCACAGGGTTCAGCTTATGTAAATGTGACTGTTCTACCGCCCCCTAGAGTTAAGGAGAAACCTCACGCTGTAATTGAACCCGCTTTACAAGAGGTTACGTTGCCAATGCTTCCAAATGCAGATACAGTTTTAGATGGCTCAGGTAAACTGCAGCAAACACCAAAATGTTTTCGTCCTACTTATACATTTTTTTTCTGGGTTTTTTTCCTTAAAAGTGTCATTTATAACCAATGTAATTTACTTGAATATTTTAAAATATTTACTGCCTGTGGTGAAATAACTGGAGTAAGTAAGCAAAAATTAACTACAAATTTCCCAATATTTATTGCAAACTGTTTTAAAAACACTGAAAAGAAGATAAAATAGTAATGAAATGACAATTTGTAAATTAGAATTTATGTTAATAAGATACAAAATTAGGTTCAAAATTTATCATTGACATAATTTTTATTTTTCAGTAGTTATTTCTGGGTTTTTTTCTTAAGTATAATTAATAACCTATTTAATTTACTTGAGTATTTAAAAAGATTTACTGCCTGTGGTGAGATAACAAAATTCTACTTCTCAACCTTGAGTTCGGACGTTCAATCCCTCGCTGTGCATTTCGCTTGTGTCTTTAGGCAAAGCACATACCTACCACCCAGGAGTGTAAGTGGGTACCTGGTAGTTTCAAACACAAAATGTGCTGATTACAGCTGCACCATTATGGGATTCTCCCCAGAAACCTGAGTATGTGTTCCATATGTGCCTGATCCAATGACCAGGGGTAATAATGCTAACCACACAGAGGTCTCCACAATATGCACTCTACAAGTCGACCATTATTATTAATATTAAAAAAGTTATTGACTTCCAATGAAATCGAAATCGAAACATTTAGTTTTCACTGATTTACAGTCTTTTTACTCCGAAAATCTTGGGAGGAATCAAATGCATGCAGTAATATATACAGTAGCTGTTAGCAAACACATTAGTATTACCATATTATGATCAGTGCTGTCATGCTCCAGTTGTACTGTTGCACATCGTAGCTCACTCCAGGCATTCTTTATGCATATATTTGAACACCTATTGATTAATTCCGGAGGGAACCTGACTTAAAAAGCATACCGTATTTGACAAAAACTTGGTTAATGAAATACAGATTTTTGAATGTTTGAAAAATTAGGGAAAGATGTTCACCATTTTATGCCAGTAAACCAATAATCATTCCCAAGTTTTTTATCAAATATGCTTGTGTGTCATAGAAAAAATAATTGTACAATATATCAAAATGTTTTTTCTTTCCCTCTGTACACTAACTTTAACTGAAAGCGTATTAATGAAAGATGGGAACACATTTTTGAATAAGTTATTTTTTACCTGGACCTCAAGGAAGAATAATCTTATCACACGGATAGAGTATCCAGAGTAAAGTTTTTCTACCTACCTATATATCTAAAAGAGTAAAGTATATGCTAGTCCGAATTTATACTCTAGAAGTGGAGAGAGAGACAATATATAGATAATGTGTCTTGCCCAAGGACATAAGCAAATTGCACAGCAGCTAGATTTTTGAACCCATGATCTCTAGGTTGAGCGTGCAAGCACCAGGCACTTCCATATACAAAGTTGTTAGTATAATGTGTGTGTTAATTAGAAAATATTGTTGTTCTAACTTTTAATCAAGAGCCACAAATGTATTTATAGATAAATAAATTTGCAATTCTAATATAATTTAAAATTGGTGGCTCAATTCAGACATTAAATGTAAAATATTTAAATACAAATTTCATATATACTCATTTCATTTTTATACCATAATATATTCAGCAAGTGAAATAAATTAAATTGAATCTATGGTTAGTGACAGTTTTTGCGTTTCTATGTCAAAGTATTACACCAGTCATCCTTGAAAATTAAAAAGAGTCACAAATCCTGAGCTCTCCCTCATGCCATTGGCAGAAAATATCATTGTATTTATATGCTTCCTGTATAATGAATTTAATGTTTGTTTTTTAATGATCTAGGGAGTACTGATGATGACAAGATTGTTAGTTACAAGTGGGAGCAAGTGAAGGGACCCTTAAGTGAGACTGAAATTAGTGGCACTGAACCAATCCTTCACCTTTCTGGACTTCAAGTTGGCATCTACATCATCATGTGAGTTGTACCATTTGTTGAAGTATTTGTTAGAGAGAAAGCAGCTTCGTTCAATATTGTGATATTACCATTCTGTGTAAATACCTATTTAATCACATTAATAAATATTATTTAAAAATATAGCAGCTGTTTTAGATATTTATTTGAAACCAAAACTTATTACACGGAATGTGGACTCACTGATTTACTTAGTTTATTGTTGTTACCAGCTTCTGTTTATGCCAGCTGATGTTTGCTAATGAGTGTGAAAAGAAATATTAAATAGGTTGCATGAACTGTGATTCTGTGTTTCATGGCGAAACTTAAGTTGCATAAACTGTCATTCTGTGTTAAATGCTGAAAATTGAACTGGTATAGAACACAGTAAATATTTTCTGCAAAGTTAATGAAGTGTGCTTTTTTGTTTTCAGGTTGACTGTCACTGACTCTGATGGTCTGGAGGATTTTGCAGTTGCAAATATCACAGTAAAGCAAGGTTAGTAATAAATTTACACTAACACTTCTTTTACTTTCCTTTAAATAGGTTATTAAATGATAAGTATTGATTAACATTGTGGAGACCTCTATGCATTTAAGATAAATATGAAAAAAACAGACCAAGAAAGTAACCCTAAAAAATCTAACCGTAAAGACATACTAATCCTACTCCTTAAACTAAGCATGGTTGGCCGTTGACTCAGAGGAGCTCATCCACCCTTATTAATGTCTTTTTAATGTTTGTTGATGTTTAGAAATAGACTATCCCCCTCAAGCAAATGCTGGTAGTGACATTGTCATTAAACTGCCTAAGAACGAAGTAACCTTGAATGGCAATGCTAGTACAGATGACAAGGGGATTAAAAGCTACGAATGGTCGGAGGATAGCGGCGGTATTGTCGACACGCTTGGAACCGGTACTGCTCAGCTTCACCTGACCAACCTCGAGGAGGGCAACTATGTATTCCGATTGACCGTCACTGACACTGGGGGACATCAGAATTTTGACACTGTAACTGTTATCGTACAACCAGGTAAGGCCTAACAATGTGTGAAGTAATTTTGTTTACAAAGCAGTGAATTTTTTGTTAATTTTCTTATGTTCAAAATGATAAATAAACTTAAAGTAATAAAAGTCTGAATTGAATGTGGGTAAAAGGGGGTATGTGAGGTTGGATAGGAGAGGGGTTAGGCTGCAAATTATGAGAAGCAATACACTTCATTGATTGAGTAAAATCTTCTTCCTAATTTCTCTCCAATATTATCCTGAAATTAACATTTTTAATGTTAAATTTTTACAAAAATGCTTTACTATGTTTTTTAGAGAACAACATAGCTCCAGTCGCTGATGCAGGCAGAGATAAAGAGTTATCATTACCGGATGATACCACTGTTTTAGATGGGTCAGCCAGTCAAGATGACCTTGGCATTATCCAGTATATGTGGGAAAAAACAAGGTAGGTTTCCCATCGTCATATCTTTTTATTTTTATCTATATATTAATTCTACTAATCGCCTCCGCGTAACTTCACTTATCTCCTTTGAAACCGCTGGCAGGAATGTGCTCATATCTCATACACTGGGTTTCTATATGTCACGATCACATTCCGCTACTTTTCGAGGCTGGATATTGGATAATAACAGAAAAAAAACAACAAAAAACCACCGAAATATCAGTACCTGTTTCGCGAGTTGCTTACGTCACAAAAATACAATTAATCCCATCTATTTTGTACCACACTGCTTAGGTATACAAAATTATCGCGGTAGGCAGTAAAAGAACCGGTCTATGTTTTGCAGCTTCATTACGTCACTGCCCAATGCTTCATCAGGTCAAAAATAAATGAGTGACCAGCATGTTCCCGTACCTCTTCGGAGTACCCATTGCATTAAATACTGGATATTACTGTAGTCTTATGGCTCAAAACATCAGCAATAAATGTCATGTTTTAGAAATCGATCAGGTAAAAATAAAGATACACCTGGGCACAAGCCATGATATATGCTCGGCCTAATCATACCGACTAGCCCTACACATGCCTAGCCTAGGCATAGGGGCCTAGGCTCAGGTTTAGTTAGCATAGCTAGGGCCTATCCTCTATCTCTCGAATCCGGGTTGATTTGGATTGGGTCAATATGGCTATTCTTCCACAATGCTGTAGTGCATTAAGTTAGAAAGCTTAAGTTCAGGGTCAAGCCAGCTCCACCAATCAATACCTCAAATTTACGTAAACACACCAGGACAATGTTTATCTACGGGTTCTTTTGAATGTCAGTTATACAGATTCATAGCCTTACATGCATCCACCTACTTCATTCAAGAAAAACATCTATCTTATGCCCAACTAGGCTAGGCCTACTGTATATTGCTGTACTTTTACGTACAAGAGAGCAGCCCTACGCAACAGGGGAAGATCCAGTAGGGGAGAGGGACGACACAGGGAAAGTGGGGGGTGGGGTGGCCGCCCGTTCTGCCACTAATTTTTAAAAAAATTTTTTTAAATGCAATGTTATGTGCTATTCGCTTATTTATTCTGAAACTGTTGTTCCCCCCACCCCATTTGAAAAATTCTGGATCCACCCTTGATCAAACTACACAATAATTCCTCACAAGGACTATTCAGCAAAGACACTTGAAACATTAACAACAAAGATGTCCTTTAGCAAAATAATGACATGGTAACCATAACATCCACAACGATTGCCTCCTCAACTACCCTGAACATTCAACAATATACATCACAGCCTTTGGCCACTCATTCAACACCGTGCGTATGTAATTGCTTTTATTACTATTTTGATTATTATGATGATTTACTAACCAGTAACAAAATTGCATGTGCTTATAAAAAAAATTTTTGTGCCACCTTTGGGCTTCCAGCCTAAGGTATCTATGCTACTTGTTACTTGTATAGCGCTGTTTCTTGCAGTTACGAAGCGCTGCTACACTGTGGTGGCTATACCAACTGGTTTATGAGCTCAATTAATGTTGTTATGTTTCCTATTAACTATACTTTTCAGGCTTAACTCTGTTAATGGGACATCATTCAGTTGCTTTCACAGACTTAGTTATGAGGCTTATTATTTATTTACTTACTTATTATTTATGAAATACACTAAGTTATTGAGATAATCATTGTTCATGTGATAACATAAAGATACAGACCATGTGAAAATTTAATATCAGAAAGCACTTGTTAACTATCAATTAAATGTAAAAAATATATAGCAGACCTTGTATATTATGTTATAGTTATTGTATTGGATATTATAATTAATTGTTTATGGATACAGTCCTCATGTTTGATAGGATTGTTTCTGAGTACACTAAACTCAAAATCTGAAATCTTTTATTCTTACCTTATACTTGATTTCATTATAATCTCAAATAACTTATGCCCTGTTGTTACAGTGGACCCGATGCTGAATTAACTGATGCAGACAAGGCTAAAGCTACAGTATCTAAGCTGGAAGAGGGGGTATATGTATTTACACTCACTGTCGCTGACAGTCAAGGGGCAACTGACTCAGACACAGTGTCGGTCACTGTTAAAAAAGGTGAGCAGAATTCATTCATTAGTTTTATATTTCAGCATCCTGCAACTGTGAGGAACATATCGTAGATAAAAACAATTTGTGAGAAAAAAAAAGTCTGCAAGATTTACTGCAAGTAGTTATGATAAAGGAATTGTACTGTACTAGCGCTCTCTATGCAACAGAGAACTGCCAACAGGATAATTCCACTCTACAAATCTAGATAGTGCTTGCTGACCCTACCGCTAGATCTGTGTCAATCGTGGTATACTCTACCATCGTTTACACATACTAATTCACTTGTAATTATTTATACAGATATTCATTCACAACTTACATACTACAATCAAAGGGTCAGCAGCATTATATCTACTACATTACGTCTCAAGAAGCTAAACTAATATCTCATACCAGCTTTTGGCTCTGCTTTGGTAGCATTGTGCTGTATTCGCCACAGACAGTTTATATATAGTTTAATATTCTGTTTCTCATTGCAGAGGTGAATAAGCCTCCAGTAGCCCTTGCTGGTTCTGACATAATTGTCAATCTTCCTGCATCAGTGGTGAAAGTTGATGGATCGCAATCATCGGATGATGTTGGTATCGAGAGTTATGAGTGGAAGAGAGATAGTCAAAGTCCAGCAGCAGGGGTAAGACAAACAGAATAAGTACCTGATATGATTCACTTTATTAGTTATTTGTCCCTAATAATAATTAATATTTGTCCTCATTGTAATTGGATATTTGGGATGGGCCCCTGGGGACCCACTACAGTACAGCCGCACCTTCTTAACTACAGCATAAACAGACACGTATGGATACAAACATTGTCATTCACCCGCATCACTCCCAATATGAGGGTTTTTCCAGGAGCCAAGTGATTAGACTCCAGTTGCAACCTGACCCTGACTGGGTTTGAATCAGGGTCTTTAGTACAAGAAGCAGGAACAACAACTCTCATCTACTCGCTCAGCTAATAAGTATGCAAAGAGTTACTGTAATGATGTGTCTGTGACCTTTATTCTTCTCATAGAAGAAAAAACTAACAGATTTTTGGATCTGTTAGTATTTTTTGCCTTAGTATCTGTAAAGTATTTTACTAAGGTATCCTTTTTATTTCAAATCGTCATGTTTCTTATATTTTTATTGTAGATGGCAATTGATAATTCAGATAAAAAAGCTGTCCTTTTACTGGTTGATCTTGTTCCTGGTCGGTACACATTTACTTTAAAGGTGACTGATGGAAAAGGACTTTCTGCGACTGATAAAGTTGATATTGTCGTTAAGCAGTATGTAAATGAGGATAGTCTTGTTGAAATCACCTTTGCTGCAGACATCACTAAAGTTACACAGGAAGATGAGGTAAAAATATGGTGAACATGTAGTGGAGAAGTAGCTTGGTGGTTAAGATGCTTGCCTTTCTATTCCCAGGGCCCTGGATTGAAACCTGTAACAGCCCATATATTTTTCTCATGACTCATAAACTCACAAATTTAGTACTGAGACTTACTTAAGACTTACTCGTTTATTTAAGAAGGCCCCTATTATCAGATGACCTAGGACAAGCTGAAAGTTTATAGATGTGGTTAAAAAACATTTTTATCTTGAATATATCATTATTTATTCATAAATAATTAATTTGATTGTTATCCAAATAGCAGTGAGTAGTTTTACAATTAAACATGTTTAAATAAATTGCCTTGTTTAAGAAGTGTTATTATAAGTCTTAGGTAAAGTAGCTCTTTTATAAATTCAGTTTATTATCAAATTTTTTTTTTACTTGCGTCTCCAGATATTAGTAACTATATATTATTATTATTATTATTATTATTATTATTATTATTATTATTATTATTAATATTATTATTAATATTATTATTATTAATATTATTATTAATATTTTATTATTATTATTATAATTATATTATTATTATTATAGTATTATATTTTTATATTTTCAGGAGCTTTTACTTCGCAAACTCTCACTATTTATGGGTGTTGATGATCATGATATTGTGTTACAGCGTATTATCTCAACACAACTAGGAAGGTAAATGAACACTAGAGGGCAGGTATACAGTATATCCAATTACAGGGTGAAAAAATAAGACCTTCATTTCTGAACCTTAAAATGTTAATGTTTTGCATAAGGAAATTCCACAGCTTATGATTATCACAGAGACCCAGAAAATTATAACAAGTTTTAGTATGAGACTTGGTAGAGAAGTAATATGTTTTTTTATTAGTAAGAGAATTATAACTAGATTACTAGAATCAAAGCCATTCACCATAATCTTTTTGGATTTAAAATTTCTCCTCTGTAGGAGTTGAGTTAATAAAACAATTCTGAAGTCTACTTCATGCATTATGATAACTATTTTTATTTTAGTATATGCTTAATTTTTTTTACAGGTTTGTCATGATCTTCTATGTTGTTGATGCGCAAACACAAGTGAGTTTGAGGGCGCTAGATGTGGTCAATCAACTGAAGAAGAGACTGCAGAAAGAAGGGGACCTGCTGGATTACCCAGTATACAGCCTAGAAACTGTTGGTGAGTAGTAAGATTGAGTGAAATCAAACTAAACTATTAATGGAACATGGATGTTGTAGTAATGATTAAAGAATTGAAACATAAAACACTGGTGTGGGATGGGTTGTAATTATGAAGTCTACTGTTTAAAGGATTCAAAAAATCTTAATGGAAAAAAGGACAAATTTAATAAATGATATTGATGAGAAGAACACTAATATATATAACATTTGTAAATCTCTTTTGAGTTTTGTTTATGATATATTAAGTGGAATGTTTTTAGGAAGTAGCACCTCTTTCTATTAACAGTAATGTTTCCCAGTTTTCAATCATTTTATATTTCAATTTACTGTAGTTTGTCAAAACACCTGCTCAGATCATGGATCTTGCAACATAACCACTAGACGCTGTGATTGTGAAAGCTTCTGGATAGAAAATCCAATCAAAGCCTATTCTGGCCTAAAAGAATCCAACTGTGGTAAGATATCATATAACAGTGCCTAAATAAATGCATAGAATTAAAAAACAAAACCAACACATCAGTTCATGGCCAGAGCTAACCCTTTTCTCATTTAAGTTGCCGTATTTTACATGTTGTGCCTAAATTATAATTATTTACACAAATGTACAATTAGATGCACACAAAGACCAGGGGCGTACCGTGGGGGGGTCGATGGGTGCGGTCGACCCCCCCTTTTAAAGAAAGTGCCCTTTTAAATATGATTTTTAAAAAAATCTAGCATAATTAAACTGCACCTAACATGAAGGTAGTTAATATCAAAATAAATTATCCTTCGCCTAAAAAATGTTTGGTGGCCCTTCCTTTTAATATTTTGATTTTTTGTCTTTTTTTTTAAACAATCCATATAAATTTATACATTTTTAATCAACTTGATACTCTAAGCCCGTGCGCCAGTGGAGTTGTGTTATAAATAATGAATTTTAATGAATTTCTATCATTACAGATATCAATACCTGTCTCTTATACACATCTCGCGCAACGCAAAACCGAAGGCAATGTAATTATTTGATGATTATTTGAATTTTTTCTCGTGAGGTAGTTGAATACTGTAGATTATTTTTTTCGGAATATAAAAATGCCAAATAAAGAAAGAAGAAGAAATATAAAAGAAAAGGAACTCAGAGAAGACGCAAAACGATGAAGGACGCATCGGAAAATTAATGATAACAATTTGATCTTTAAATAAAGAGCTATTTATTTTTTTATGTAAATATTAGGTAAGTTAAATTACCTTTAGTATTGAAAGCGTAGTTTAAGTATTAGTTATTGAGAAAAACGATGAAGAAAAACTAAGTTAAAAAAATATATTAAAATATAAAATTGAAAGGAAAACGATGAAGAAAAACTAAGTTGAAAGGAAAACTATGAAGAAAAACTAAGTTAAAGAAATATATTAAAATATAAAATTGAAAGGAAAACGTTAAGAAATAAACGCATACAAAATGTTACTTTAAGTAATTATATGTTCCCTATATCATTGTTTATTTTTCAATACAGTATATACATTGGAGTTGTGTTATATGGTTACGCATCATTGCACTCTGCCATTATT